TATTATAATTATAACATCATATAAAATTGAAAAGTGATATGCAAAAAAGTTTCATAACTTGAAACCATTGATAAGGGGTTAGGATAATTTTCCTCCATCAATGATTATAAAATAGATAATCAACAGTCAACCTTCAACTTTAATCTCTCAATTTATAATATCTTATTTTAAAGATGTTTTAGGTATGAATTTTTTTTTTTTATGTTGGTTACAGCTGGAGGCAATCCTCTTTCGTTAATTATTTTACTCCATTCGTATGTCAGACAATTTAAATTTATAATTTCTTATTTTTAGTAAAGAAAGATTATTACTTAACTAATTAAATAAGTGACAAATATGAATTTAATTCATGTGTCAAGATCAAATGGTACAGTGAGGATTGATCCATTAAACAATTTCAAGAAATACATAGGACGGTATGACATTATACAAACAATTATTACTGGAGTGTGATTCTCTCTCTTCGAACTATTTCTCTTCCTTTCTTCTTCTTCCTCTTGCTTCTAAGGGTATCGTTTTGGTTTTATGCAGTCAACTGTATTTACAGGCTTGTATGGGTATGCAATTGGAATCTTATGGCTTCTATGTGGACTGGTATACGGTGGCTATCTTTTGGCCGCTACCTTATGCTTTAAAGGGACTCAAAAGCCAAAGAGAAAATCAACTTGTTTCAAACAATGTAACTTTTGGACTATGCTCCTGGCAGTGTAAGTAAATACAGCCTTCCTATACGATGTTAGTGCAGGGATATACAACACTGTTAACCAGGTAATTTCTAATCATACTTCATGCGCATTAAATGAACAAAATATTTTGGCTTGATGAGGAAGTTTTTTATTCTTTCTGTATCAGAATGATCTTCAGGACTAACTGGATTAGAATAGGAGTTTCTATGATCGGGGTAATATAGATGGATTCGTTAATTCCTGGCATTCTACTACTGCATTATATGAATTCAAAGAACCACCAACAAATTCTATTCATCTCTTGTTGACAAAATTCAGGTGAATGAGGGCATATCAGCGCTGTGGCAAACAACATATCCGAATCTTCCTTACATCTGCAATCCTTTCTCTGCACCACCGGAATATGCATACCAGCCTAGTAAATGTTCTGCAAATACAATTAAAATGGGTGACATACCAAAGGTACCACATGCAAAACTGAAAAATTTGTGAATTGTTAATAGAACTAGATTAGGCTGTATGTATCATAGCCTTTCTTTGAACTTACCTCTCTTAATCTCTCATTTTGAAGAGACTGGCCGTGTTTACTTGTTCTGAGGGGGATGGCGGGAGTTGTAGAGGTGGAGAATTCATCTCTAGCACTGATTACAACAGTAGACTAAATGCTTATCCAGGGATGGAAAGTCTAGTAGAATGCCAGTCAGTGAATGATGCATTTCCGAGATCCTTCTCAAACACTGCAAGCCATTGAAGAGGTTCCCGCACATGGTATGGATTGCAATGGTGCTTCTGTCAACCATCATGTTGCCTTTGCTTCTGATATGGACAGCACAGCACTTATACATCACGAGCAAGAACTTCATCTTTCAGATGTTTCTGTTGAGCTGGAACCTCAATCTGCAACAGCAGGCGCTATGGCATCCAAACAAACAGAATGAAGTAGGTTAAGGAATCATTCAAATTCTAATTACTTAAGTCTAGATATTGCATTTTTGGAAGAGAAATGCGCAAGCAACTTCCATAACTGCGGCTATGGCATATGCATTATGTCTATAGTTTGTACTGGAATATATCATACATAGTTGCAATAATAATACACAGAAAAGAAATTAAAGAAATAGAGATAGGTATTAACCCTGCTATTATAAGAAAGGATTTTTCTAATATATATCTTTAAAATGAAGGTTAATGATATAATTATTATATAATTTTTTAATTATTGATATGAAAAATACAAAAATTAATATTAATTTATAATTAATACCATATGA